GTATGTGTTTTTTTCTATTTTTTTATAATGTATTTTTACTTTTTTGTGTCTTTATGATACGTTTCCTTATGTCTTTTAACATATATATTTTTTATTTTTGTTATTGGTCATTTTGTCTTTTTTCGTTTAATTTTTTCAGTATTGGATTTGATACCGTCATGACTGATCAATATAACTTATTTATTATTATATTGATCTACATGCTTTGGACTTTAGGATTGGATTTGGATATGCGTATTACGTTCAGAGTTAATTTTCTTACAACAAACAACTCTAATTTGCTATTGTTTATAGATTTTCATAGTTTGATCCATGTTATGGTTATGCAATCAGATTTATTCGTATCTATTTTTTGTTCGAGTTTTTTGAATATATTTTTAATCTTTTTTTTGATGATCATGATATAATCTAGAGTAACTATTTTTTTATGTTTATAGTTATAATAATGTCCTAATTAAATTCAGGTAATGTTAGATTTCTTTTTTTCTTAATAAAACTAATGGTTTCTATATGCATAAAAAGAATTTAATAATTTTTAACCCTCAGTCAAAATCAAATTACGATTAGGGGTGTTTAATGAGTTGAGCATCTCATGAGCAGCTCGGACTTGACTCGGTCAAAACTAGATAAGAGCTCGATTTAGGTTGAATCGACTCAAACTCGAGTTCGACTTGAGACCTTAACAAACTAAGTCTAGCAAATTCCATCTCGACTCAATAAGTTCACGAGTAGCTCATTAATTTTTTTTTATAATTTTTTACTAGTTATCTTTAAAAATTATTTTAGTAAAAATTTACTAATTTACTAATAGATGATAAATGACTAATATATTAATTTTATAATAAAATATAAAATTATTAATTAATAATTATTATTTTACTACACCAAAAAATAAACCCTAATTATTATTTTAATGTATTTGTGTATTTTTATTTTGAAGTTTAGACTTTAAATTTGTTTCATATACTCTTTTGATAATTTTTTGTTAAATTTATCAATTTATGTTTATATTAAGCTTTATATAGTATTATTTTATTTTACCAATAGTTAAAAAAAATAAGATAAAAATTTTGTTGAGCTTAACAAGCAACGAGCACGAGTCAAGCAACAAGATTTTTTAGCGAGCACGAGTTGAGCAATAAAAAATTTTAATGAGCATGAGTCGAGTACTGCCTAACTTGTGATCGACTCGCTCGATAAACACCCTATCCACTATTCACATTAAACATTTAGATATTTCCATCTAAGATTATAGCAACCGGCATAGCCCGTATCTGACGACAGATGTCAATTCACAGCCCAAATATTTTAGGGTAAATTACACTCTTATTCACTAAACTTTACTCTTTCTCCTATTTCACTCACTATACTTTCAATTTTTTCAATTTGCTCATGAACTTTAGATATTTGGTCACTCGACTGTTTACTCAGTAATGGGGTGCTCATGTGGCTTATTTTAATAATGAAACATGCCACATAGGACTCATAATTAAAAAGATAAATTACACGTTTACTCACTAAACTTTACTCTCTCTCCTATTTTACTCATTATACTTTTAATTTTTTTCAGTTAATATAGCAACGTCATAAAGCCGTTAGAAATTAACATCGAGTGACCAATGTCTAAAGTTTAGTGACCAAAGTGAAAAAATTGAAAGTACGATGAGTGAAATAAGAGAGTGAGTAAAGTTTAGTGAGTAAGCGTGTAATTTATCCAAAAATTTTATATAAAATTTATATATATAATATAAAGAGAAAAAAAACCACTCTTAGAAAGGTTTTTACACTCTTTAAGGGTAAACTACATATTTAGTATTTAAACTATTATTTTTGTTCTATTTTGGTACCCAACCTTTTTTCTTTTCCAAAACCATACCTTAAATTTAGTTTAGTTTTCAATTTGATACTCGTCGTTAAAAAATTAACGAAACTGCTGACGAAATATTTTTTTTCAATGATGATGTGGCATTACCTTTATAGTGACATGTGAACATCATCGTTAAGTTTTAACAATGGGGGTACCAAAATGAAATCTAAACTAAATACTAGGTATGATTTTGAAAAAAAAATATAAATACCAAAATAGAATAAAAATAATAATTTAGGTGCTAAATATATAATTTACCCAAAAGAAATTGAATCCACCTTTTAACAAAAATCAATAAAAAAAAATTATAACACCAATAATATAAAATATCTAGATCCACTGCTTCCCCTCATTGTAGCACCACAATTATACTTGTGTTTGTGACCTACGTTCATATGGTGAACAAGGTTTCAAATAGCGGAACGAAAACGCTATAACAACCGTTATTTTTTTGATAGTGTCATTGTCCGAAATTGATATTTATAATTTTAACGGTGGGTAATAGATTCACGACGATAGTGGTCTGTTGTGTCCACAATTTTATCATCTCGTTTCTGTAAAAGAAAAATAAAAAAATAGAAAAGTTTGGGTTGGGAGAGTTGAGACGTGGGACTTGGGAGAATGAAAGCTTGATCGACAACAACCGTCACCGATGAACTTGTTCGACGCTCAAATAAATTATCTTAAAGATGAAAGTTTTTTTTTCTTGTTAAGAAAGATGGTTGGGTTGGGAGAGTTGAGACGTGGGACTTGGGAAGGGAGAATGAAAGCTTCTAGAATATGGAGTTTTCCTTCTAACTCCTAATTTCCATTTTTTTATAATTTTTTTTGGTTGATATAAGTTTTAAAATATAATTTTAAAGAATATGTTAATTTGTCGTCCCACTCCCTCCCATCTTTTAGAATTTTTAATTTGAATTTTTAACTTTTCCTTAACATTAATTTTTTTTAAAAAAAAGATATCCAATTAAAACTTGAAAGACATCAAAGGTAAATAATTCGAATCGAATATTTTATTTAAATTTATATTTTCGCAATAGGACAACCCGATAATTGAGTGGTACCGAAAGGACGATTCGAGAGTGCTCACCCTCCTCGATCGTAAACGACTCTCGAACCCGACAATTCTTTGTAAGACGCAGATCTAATAAATGGGCAAAATCAAGGTGTTTGATCTACTCATTCGAAATGATTATGGGTACGTGATAGCAGATCGCGTCCAACAGATGAACAATGGTTGTTTCGAAGCAGAAAACCTTCAGGATTGAAAAATCTCAAAAACATGATTTTGATGATAAATGTTATCAAATCGTGACGTTTTTCCATAGAACAGTGAGTGTTATTTTTCAAATCGTCGTTATTCATTGTTTTTCCTTTGTTTTTGTCATATATTTTTTTAATAACTCTGGTTTTTGACCCGTTTTTCTCTGTCTTGTGACAAGTTTTCGATCGTTATTTTTATTATTTTCTTCTCAGAGTTAGATTTGACATTGTTACAACTAATGATGTTTATTTGTTATCATGTTGACCTTCTCTGCTTTGGACTTTGGATTGAATTTGGATACATGATTTGTGTTCCTGGATAGTTTTCTCGCTTTGCTCGATTCTGATTTATAATTTATCGGTGATTTTTCTATAACTCGGTCTCCTTTTGTTATTTGTTTACCGATAAGATCATATCTATTCATATATACATTTATTCAGATTTATTTGATTAATTTTTTTTTAACATTTTTCTTATATGATTCTTATGTGATCTTAAATGACTAGTTAATTATGTTAATGATTATGTAAAGATATCCTTGTTATATATTTAATTTATGATTATAATAATAAACATTCATTATCTTTCGAATATTTTCTAATTTTAATAAAATGAACCACTTTTACTCTTATCATCTCTTAAGTTGTGTCAACTGTCAACTCCCGTACACTAACTCAGTTTGAAATGATAATCCTACTCTTACAGTATACTTAATATTTTATAAGAATATTTTTATCTTTTTAGTTTTTCATAAATCTTTAAATTAAATGAATATAAATAATTATATGAAATTCGAATGCATACCGAAACTAACCTTTTAACCACTCCACCAATAATCATTTGTTAATTTAACTTTTTTTCAAACATATGCTTTTACATAAAATATTTGTTTTAATATATAATTGAACTCAACTGAATTTGTGAAAAAATATATATAAAGAAATGTGCAAAATTCTTACAAGGCACAACAATTTCTTTACCTTATTTCATTAGGTACGTGAAAAAAATTTAAAAATTTATAAAATTATACATTCTTTTTATTGTACAGAGAAATCTATTTAAAATTTTTTGAATTATAATTTAAACTATTATACATTTAGTTTTTCATATATATATATATATATATATATATTCTTACAAAATCAGTCGCTGCGTGTATATCTTAAATACTTACATTTGTTCGCATGCATATAATGAAAGGTATAATGCCAAAATTAACCCCCAATGTTTATCAAAAGAATCATTTTATCCCCTTTTCTTTTTGGGCATTTTAACCCTAACATTTCATTTTTAAGGTAAAAAAATTAATATTTGACTTAATAATCACTTAGATCCTTATTCTTTTTTTCCAGAGTATTTTGACCCTCGATGTTCAACTTTAGGCTAAAAATGTCTTTATGTTGAAATATTAACCGTTTAGTAACTATAAGTTTTCATCTATGAAGAGACTTTTTACCTCAAAATAAAACATTAAGGATAAAAAATGCTCCAAAAAAAATATGAGCCAAAATGACTATTTCGGTAAACATTTTGGGCTATTTTTAACATTACGCCAAAATGGAACTACTAAAATCAAGGTGAGACGAAGAGAAAAAGGACGTCATTGGTCGGACGGTCATAAATTGATTGGGCATATACCTCAGAGAATAATTTCCTTTTCTTACACATGCTCGGTCCCAACCAACCCTCTTTACGTAAGCCAATAACCAAATTCTTATAAAAAAAATTAAAAAAAAAAACACCATGCACAACTGTTTCTCCTGTTATTTTAATCTAAACTTCATTACCCTCCATCTTTACCTCCTCTGAGAAATTTCCTATAAAAAACACACACTGATGCCAAATAGAAGAAGCTTATAAGAGAGAAACCAGACAGATTCACGTATAGTCTTTTTGTCCTTCTGTAGTTGTTCAAGAAAGAAGGAAAAACACAATGAATGTAGAAGAGGAGGTGGAGCGACTCAAGGAAGAAATCCAGAGACTCGGCCAGATCCAACCTGATGGTTCTTACAAGGTTTCATTTTTCAATCTTTTTCCTATTATATCTGATCTGGGATTTTCTTTTTCTGCAAAAATTTCAATATTTTTTTATCTGGATCTGGGGCGCTTCAAGCTCTCCTTTTTGTTTGCCCCATTTCCCCTCTATAAGCTGATCTAGCTATATGATTGGCAGATCTGTTTACTATTTTTTATATTGATTCAAATTGTCCAGTTTGGGAAGGAAAACTGCTGAAACATTTATTAATGATGTATGTATAATCAACATTCAAACTAACATGTTCATCAAGCTTGTTATAAATTTCACTGTCCGGTTGGATTTGCCTAGGACTCGTCCGATCTCGAAACAGTTCCTCGTTTCCTTTTGTAGAATCAGTGACAATCTTTGTTCTACTCAATCCATTCTGCAAAACCAATGAAATATACATTTTTTTTCTAGTTTACAGCTAATCGGATTCTGTTATTCCATCTTCTGATTTCTTCTAAATTCAAGTAAATAAGCTTCGAAAATCTTACGGAAAGTATTTATGTCCAATATTCTTATCTTAATCTCCTTGTGGATATCATAGATGGCTACTGTAACCTACATCAATTCACCATAGTACGTACATTGCATTGAGATTTGAAGTTTGACGATGATTGGTACCTTCTTGTTCTAAGAATCTTATAGGCTTTTTTAAAGGGTTAAAATTGACATACTTGACATTGTTTTAGGCATGTTCACATCATCTGAAACTGCAATGCCAAAGTTGCATGATCTGGGGTTTCCCCATTTAATTTGTTTGACACCTATGTTGCTACAATTTACTTCTGTTTTTCCAGCAAAACTATAATATATGCTGTTTCATGTGTTCAAGGTCACATTCGGGGTGCTATTTAACGATGATCGATGTGCAAACATCTTTGAAGCACTAGTTGGGACACTAAGAGCAGCAAAGAAACGAAAAGTTGTTACATATGATGGTGAATTATTGCTCCAAGGAGTTCATGACAAAGTGGAAATTACACTCAAAGCTACACCAGCCTAGAGCAGCAACTAATGCAGTTCTAAAAGAATAAATTGCAACTATGGTTTTGCAGCAAAAGTTTGATGGATATTCTATGTATTTTTTTTCTCCAATTTCAATGGTGTTTTAAATCTTGTTTCAGCATAAGTACATGTACTATTGAATACTCTTCTATAAGATTTCCATTGTGTGTACGCCCAGATTTGTATATGTTTTCTTTTGGTTATGTTCAAAGTTTGATGTCTTCATCCATTGTTTGCTTCTAATGGCATAAACTGCAAGAGTGGACAACTATAAGCCAAAGCGGAAAGAAATGAAATGAAAAATTCTCAATTGGTCAAAAATGTTAGGTTTGAACGGAAAAATATCCTCATGAAGGGCAAGTGGGGATGAATGCTGAGGGTGTTTCATAAATGTCAAAGCGTTCAAGTCTCGATAAAGGAGAGTTGATTTATGGGGAGTGAGTTACAACTATTTGTGTAATAAAATGTTTGTTGGACCTCCAAATTCCAGTTATGTTTATCTAGACTTCAGCAGAAGTGTGGATACAGGCAGATGCTCCGTTATCTATAATGAAGTTCTTATACCTTCCCCGTGTCCAAATATGTCGCAAGCACGGGTATTTTAAGAAAAATGAATAGTTCGGATAACAACACATTATAAGTATCAAAAAACATTAAAAGGTATTTTAAGAGAGACGGGAGCTGAAAATTTTCTATTTAGCATAAAACTGAAATACTTGAGAGAGAATATCAATTACCTGAGATGCCAATTTATTGTCCATGTACAAGTTACGGGTGATCTAAATCTTCACTAGAAGAGATCAATCATTCTAAGAAATATCAGTATTGATGCTTACTAATACGTGCTACGAATCCTGCCCAAAAACACATCTTCGATACTAAAAACATATCAATGCATGATAAATTTTTAGCACAACATAAATATCCAAACTTCATAGCATAAAATTTTCTTGAAAAAATCCATCATATGAACAACTTGACCAAAAACATCTGCTTATTTTGTATGTACTCCAACCTAAGAGTTTATTTTCAACAAAAGAGTTCCACAACAATATTTCCAAGAGAACAATCTAAGAATGTGCGAATTATATCTTTTTGGGGGTTTATATGTCAGACATCTACTACCAAAATTGTAATAGAATATTAAATTGAATTGCACTTTGTGACTTGTGAGGATGCAATAGGGTAGCAAGAGAATAGCTTAAAATGCGGCCTTTGTGGGTGAAAATAACAACATAAGAGGTCATGGACCCTCATCATCAAGCCAACTAACCATGGTAAATATAATTTTTTATCAGTGGCTATAATAGTAACTCAAAACTAGACAGTAGAAGAAGGATATGATAGAAAATAGTGATCTCCATACGACATTCGCTACAGAATGTTTTGTGAACGATTAGAACCAAATTATTTTCCCGATGAACAGGGTTTGCATAGATGGCTAGACTAATGTACACTGCTTGAAAAATAAAAAGAAGAAAAAGCAGTTAAGTAGGCAACAACTTCAAGTTTTTCTTCTCCTTTTGTGAAAAACATTAGGTTTAAATGAAAGATTTCAGCGACCAGTGAGGATGAATGCTTGTAGGAGGCTCTGAGCCGCCTGGGTTTGATAAGGTGTCCCAGATATAACAACAATCCTGTCACTTGTTCCTATTGAGGTTCATGCACTATGACCTTGGCACCAGAGATCTGATTTATGTACACCACAGGAAAAGTTGATGTTGATTTAGATTAGATATCTCATAGATATTGTATATTGACATCAATAATGGTATCATGGTTAGGGAAGATACTTCGATTTTTTTGTTCTTTTAATTTGCTATTTTTTTTTTGCATGCATGGTAAACTGATAACAGAAAAGGTGAACTGAATTCAGTATGAGCTTTCAAAAATATTGAGAGTTTCGATTTTTTTGTTATTGTAGAATTCAAGGTAGAAGGTTTGTTCTTAACTGTTGTACATTTGGGAATTTGAACATGCTATTTTTAGTCAAGACCTTAGAATATGTTCTTAAATTGTTGTTGTAATGGCAATTATGGCATCGGTAATGACTAAATTTTAACTTTGATTGCCCTTTTAGTCTCACAGTCATGTGGTTTGATTTCTGCTTTTCAGGTTGTGCTGTCTTATGTTCTTCATTAAGTTCTATCAAGAGTTGATTTGCTTAGATGGTGTTTGTATAATTCTTTGTAGAATTAGGAGCAGAACCACTCCAACCAACTAAATACCATTTTTCCAACAATGCCAATAAAATAGTGCATGAATAGTTGAAAAAAAAACTATTACCTCTCTTAAGCGAGCTAGATTGCGACCGTTCTCCCCATAAACAGAGTCGATAACATTATCGGGAACTCTAATCTCTACAGTTGTATTGTTACAATAGCAGATCTGTTTCCACTGCAGACGTAAGAAGAATGGATCATTACTTCGCAATAGAAGATCAACGTTAATCATCAAGCCTAACTTATTATTTTCCCGACATACAAATTTTTCGGTAAGCTACCAACCTGCCAAGTTCTACTCCACCTCTATAAGAAGTCAATCCTCTTCCACTATCTGTGATGCCCCTTGGATTCAATCCAGTAGACATCTGCAATTAAGATCCAGCTACAGTTGAGTAGAACTATTCAACAATTCAATTCCAGCACATATGTTTGTGTTCATGAGTGAGACTAAGGTGCAAACATGTACGCACTCTCATCTAGGAGAATGGAAAGAAGCTTACTTCTGATGTCCTCAATCCTGCAGAACGAGGGCGATCTGAGCTATAGGAATGTCCATAGGGATTTGTGCTATCCGTTGCCAATGAAGTATGCCGACTAAGACTATGAGAAAAGCCGATTGATGCTTGCAACTCAAGAGGGGAATTATCCAACAGTCTTTCGTAAGGACTGGTCTCGATTAAAACTGAGGAACTGCTTTTTGCTCCGGCAGTTTTCAGTGAGATAGAAAATAGGTTATCTCTTAGTTTACCAGTCACATGATACATAGCATCTTTTACATTCATATACCCTCCTTGAATCTGTTTTAAAAAAGAATAATACCAACAATTAAGCAACTCATGCCTTATGAAACACCAGTCACATGATACATAGCATCTTTTACATTCATATACCCTCAAACACCAACAATTAAGCAACTCATGCCATATGAAACACCAGAATCATATCATTTTTCAAAATCTCTCACAATAACAGTATTAGAATAAGTGAAAATGCATTTGCAGCAAGGAAATGTAGGTTTTTCCTCGGCCAAAATCAGAATAAGTTGGAACAGCGAGGGAACCGGTTAGAATAACGGTTGTCATAACTCATAAAATGAAATGTTTTTGGGACAATTTATGTTATAAACAGATCATGCTGTCATGGTTTCCTTTTAACTCCAACAGCTACAGTATTAGAACCGTTTGTTCATATTTCTAGGATATAACTCTTCGATTGAAATTTAGGAAAGTAAAAACTTTACCACTTTTTTGCAAAGATTCCTCAAAAAAGAAGCTAGTTTTATATCAGTGAGCCTGTATATAATAATTAACAAAAGCTCTAGCGCACCTGTACCACTTGATCATTTCCACTGACACACTTGGGGACCTGGTCAGTTCCCAAAATCCAAATGCTGGTACCAGTCACTTTACGCATTTCAGAAATTGTTGCCCCTCCTTTTCCCAACAGACACCCAACTTGGCTTGAAGGAACTACGAGCCGGGCAGTGACATTTGAACCCTTACCTGAGCCTGAATCTATACCTTTTTCAATGGAAGCCTCATAAGCTCTTACAAAAACAAGGACAACAGCCTTTTGTGCCGGAGAATATTGTGATTCCGGGTCCTAAAAGATATCAAGTCAATGAGAGAATATCCATGACAGAAAAAAAAAATAACTTTAAGCAAATGTATAATGACATAGAAGATCAGAACATGACTGACCTCTGATGCAGTAACAGTAACCAACCGTTCATCACAATCAGTGAATGTAGCTCCAATGGTAACAGCAGCTCCTGTATCACTTTGAAGGGCTTTAATAGTTGCGCCTCCCTTTCCAATAACACCTCCAACCGTATCATTGAGGCAAAGAATTTTGAAAACCACTTCCTGCTGAAATGTTTTAGTATTCAAAGGAGAGGCATTCTCGGACTCCCGAGACAGAGAATGAAATCTGGTGGCATAACTGGTAGAGCCACTGGGTACACTAGGTACCAGGAAACTATGCCGTGAAAGATGATCTACTTCAAAATCAGGTAAATCCTCACGTGAAACCTCAATATGTCTATGAATTGATTCTTGAGGAAGAACATCAATCAATCTGTGCAATGGGTCCTGGGTGACGACCTCCATAGGTCCACGAAAAGTCTCTCGAGGAAGTGCCTCCATAGCTCTGAGGAAATGATCCTCAGGATGTAAGTCAATAGGTCTGCGCAAAGTCTTCTGAGGAAGTACCTCAATAGGTCTGCATAAAGTCTCTGGTTGAACTGGTCCAGTGCTTCTGGTTTCACTTACCGTTGTTTTATTTTCAGAAGGACAATCTTGGAGGCGGTACGAGACAGCAACAAGTGCTTTCTTTACAGCTAAAACAGACCCTTCAATCTACAAAATATACAGAGGAGCAACAATGAATATTTCTTTTAATGTATAACAAAAAGAAAATAGTAACAATAATGAGCAATCGCTTTAGAAGATAGTTGGACAATGTTAGTTAGACTGCATCTTAAATTCAACAGATTCCCACTTTCAGAATATTTTCATATTAAGTACAGTGATTCAGTGCTACATGTTTAATGCAATGATTGACAGAATAAAAATCCTTAAGTAATTACCATGATAAGGCTGCACATATTACTCGTTATCAACAACCTAATAAACCAAATCTGCCTAAAACCACTAACAAACTAATGTATCCTAGGTTTTCAAATATAGAAATTTTCGTGAGTTGCTTGAATACTCGACTAACTAATAAAATTTAAAATATAACAGATAGTGTGAAAGAAAATCAACATTTTTAGAAGTACTTATGAAGTCAACAAACC